AGTGGATGAACTCTCAGTTTTGCTGTATTGTTTTGTTTGAGACAGGGTCTCCCTCAGCCCCAGCTGGCATGGAACTCTATGTAGAGTTTGACTTTACAGAGATCTGCCTGCTTCTGCCTCCCAAAAGCTGGGATTAAAGGTGTCACCACCATGCCTGGCTAACTTCAAAGTTTTTGTATATAATAATTAAATATTTGGAATTAAAGTGTGTTTTATGAAATGATGCCTACTTTGAAGCAGGGTATTTAGAGAAGTGTAGAGATGAATCTTACCTTGTATAATACAGCCACATGAATGGCATGAGATTAATCCATTAAGTCACAGTGGCTGTGTTACAGTAAGAGTTGACCTCTTCTCAGCAAGATCAAGCCAAAATGTAAAGAGCCATTGAAGTTCAAGAAAAGGATCTTAATAAAAAGAGAGTTCTGGCTCTGTGAGGCTCTTTCTAGCTATGGGCTTAAACCCCACTGAATTGGAATATAGGCAGCCAAAGAATGGCTTATTATAGTCGAAGAGGATCTGGGAAGGTGAATACCCTCAATTTAGGAAAGTAAGTGACATAAAAAATGAAATCAATTACTTAGACACAAATTCTTAGCTCAAGTGAAAGTCAGCTAGTTACTAGAATTGTAATGGTAAAATAACTTTTCCTCAAAAGATAAATTTTAACATTTATTAAATTTTAATCATAATGCTACGAGGTAAAAAACTGAAGGAAGAAAATGCTATAATCACTAACCAAAAGCACACTAGCCCTTGTCTCTGTACTGAGCATCGAAATCCATACAAATTCATTAGTCCCGGGCTAAACTTGAAGGGAAACTATGACAAGCAAAATCATGATGTTTCTTTTCAGGATCTTAAATGAGTGAAACTGGAGGTGTAAGTGGTATTCAAATACAATGTACTTAGTTAGAAAATACCGAGGAGGAAATTAGAATTACAAACAAGTTCAGTATAAATGAGCCAATGGGAATTTTGATTGGATTATCTATATGACTGATTTCTTAACAAAACAAAATACGAAAAATAAAAGCTTAAATTGAGTCTCAGTATTGCAAGTGGTGTACAGCCCAGTTTTACTAGGGGTCTCATCAGAAAATGACAAGTAGGGGCTGGAGAGATGGCTCAGCAGTTAAGAGCACTGACTGCTCTTGCAGAGGACCCGGGTTCGATTCCCAGCATTTACATGGTGGCTACGCAACTTCCTTAACTCCAGGTCCAGGGGAATCCAAAGCCCTCTTCTGACCTCTGCAGCATTGCATGACACAGGTGCATTCATATACATGCAGGCAATACACTCTTACACATAAAATAAAAATAATAAATAAAATATTTTTTAAAAAAGAGAAAATGACAAATAGATGATTTTAATCCCTAGGTGAAAGTGGATCATCAATTTCAAGACCATCATTCTCTCTCTCTCTCTCTCTCTCTCTCTCTCCCTCCTTCCCTCCCTAAAAGCTGCTCAGAATCCATCCTGAAACATTGTCTATCTACATCATCAAGGGATCTCATGGCTGTTAGATCACTAAAAGGCAAGAGAATACAAGAAGTTGAAAGGACTATCTTCACTGTTCAATATTTCTAATTTTTTAAAAAAGTAAATCTTTCTGTTTCAGCTGCCCAAAAGTTCAGCTTTAAAAGTATATTTTCAATTTCTAGATTGATAAAGGATTTCCTTCTTACTGATCAAATTTAGCATAAAGCAAATCAGTGCAGGAGGATTTTAACTAGATACAGTAAAATAATCTAATGCCCATAGTTTACTCATGCTTATTAAGAGTCTCTGCAACTAAGTGGGGACTATCACTGAGCATACAGCACTGCATATCCAATAGGCACTACAGAGAAGCAAGGCACTCTTAATTTGTGTTCAGTTATATGAGTAATATGCCAGTTCAAAATGTTATGTATACCTTAGAAGTATTTTGTTTGATGGGATATAATGGCAAACCTTGTGATTTACTGTCATGTTTCAGCACATTTCATCAATAACATTGCTTTTAAAATTGAACCATAAATTAGGCTATTTCTGAGGATGTGACAATATTCTGCAAGGGATTTCTGAATTCCAGAGGAAAAATTCAAATGATAGTTTTAAAAACTCATTGCCAATAATTAATAAAAGATAACTCTGGCTAACCAATAACAGGTGGTCCACTAATCCCAAACAGAACCAGATGGAAGCAGGTTGGTTTTATAAACACTGGAGACACACAGAATAATAGGCTTGCCAGGAATTGTCTTATCTTCTAATGTCACAGTGCCTTACCATTTGTATTCTTTCAAAATCAATATACCCAGTTAAACCGTGTTTTTCATTCTTCATTTTTAAAATTATACATTGTGGTCTGGAGAGATGATTCAGCAATTAAGAGTACTGGCTGCTCTTGCAGAGGACCCAGGTTCAGTTCCCAGCACCCACATGGCATCTAACAATGATCTGTAACATTCCAGAAGATCCAATGCCCTCTTATGACCTACGTGGGAATTGCACAACATGAGTGAACTTACATACACGCAGGAAATATATTCATACATATATAATAAAAAATAATAAATGAATAAAATATAAAATTGCACATTGCACTCAATACTTTTTCATTCCACTTTATGCACTACCTCATCGGAAAGAACAGTGTTGTTTAGTTTCCCTTATGTTATTTGTAAAACATCATATAGTTGTGATCCTTTGCTTCCCTTCACTCTGTTCCTCCTTTTTCATATCTGGGTATGACACACTAATCTAGGTATTGTTTCATTATTAAACTTTCAAAACAATAAGTGTAGATAGATGAAATAAATTAGGCAAATAAGCTAACACACAGATTTAAATTTAATTTTATACATTTCAGGAATTGTCTTTAGGTTTTAGAGGACTATATACTGCTATAGATTTAAATCTACGGGTTTTCAGCATATGATCACATATACCTTAGAAGGACCCTGTCTGTGTAATCATTAACTGAAATAGAGACAGCTTTGTTAGTTCTCTGACTTTTAACTGTTGTTAAATTTTCAGAGAAAATTGGTTGGCAATGTAACAGTAAAACATTCAGCACCCCATACTGATTTTGGCAATACATGATTCACTGTGCTCTGTGACTTTCTTAGAAAGCATATATTGTATGATAAATTAGCAGCAGCTATGAGTAACCTAAGTGACAACAGAGCAAATGATTTTCATCAAATAATGAAATTTAAAAACTGATGGACTATGAGGAAACAATACCTATATTGGTTATTTGTCAGTTCATGTTCCCCAATAATACAGAGTCATCTTATGCATAAGTAAACAGTTGATTGTATGAAAACAAAAATATATAGAGAACATAACTTTCTCTTTTAACTTTTTATTTTTCAGATAGTGTCATCTCAGTATTTAATCCAGACTTCTCTAGAACTCCCAAACCTTCCACGTCCTGAGAGCTGTGACAACAGGAATGTACCAATATACACAGCGAGAGATTACCTTAAACCCCCATATGAACAAAATGGGCCACAAATCTTTTAGAGAAAATAGAATTTATTGTATATTTAAATAAGAACTTGAAATATTCCCTTCACTGAGGTACTCATGCAGAGACTCTGGTAAAAATCATTAATTAGACTATCACATTTAAAATAACAACATTTTGAGTGTATCCATTAGATGTTTTGTAAATGGTGTAATGTGGTTACTATGAACTCCAATTTAAATGTAAGAACAATGAAGAAGAGGCATATAGTCATTTGCTCAAATGTTAGAAAAGAATTACATTAAGAGTTTCCCCTGCATATTTTGATTTTCAAGCCCTCTCTTCCCAAATGATCACATCATCTAACTTTGTTATGTTACTAAATACAAATACTGACAGTAATTATTTCACCTATAATTTTCAGGATCATTTCATTCATTAAAGTTTCTAACTCATAAAACGTTGAAAGAAAAGAGAAGGAGAAGAAGAGGGAAGGAAGAGGAAGAAGAGGAAGAATGAGAAGGGCTGAGGGAGAGGAGGAGGAGAGGAGAAAGAAGGCAAAGAAGGACAAGACACAGGAATTATCTGACAGAATCAGCAACTAGGATTAACTCAGTCTTCCAGAGTGATATGAGTCTCATGATCTGTTACATGGCTAGGGCCTAGATGCACTAGATATTTCCTTCAGATATGGTATGCTTTTTTATAATAAATGCACAAATTATAATTATGCATTAAAAGAAATCCACAAAATATAGTTTCCTTTAAGCAATCATCTTCAATCATCCTAATGAAAATTAGCTCCTTCCTTAACAATATTAAATCATATTATTAATGTATATTCTTAGAATTATTTCCCAAACATGTGTCTGGGTTCTGTCATGGTTTAAATGTTTAACAGGCATAATACAGTGAATAAAGTTTCTCATTTTAATTAAGATATTAGTAAAGAATTCTCTAATATACTCTGTACAATTAAGATGTAAGAGAGTAGAAATATGTTAAACAAAAATCTTCCTTCATTGTGTTGTTTTTTTTTACCTCAAGGTTAACTATATCCAGCTCTGCTCTCTGGAATCAATAACATTATATATATAATATATAATAAATATAAAAGTTTTGGAAAGATAAGATTCAATATTTGAAAAGGGGTAGATTTTCATTTGAATGTTGTTTACTAGTAGGAAAAGAATACACTTTCTTGTCATAATTCTTTTCTTCTAAATTTGTCAAGAATCAAATCTGGTGATTCATTGCTTCATTGCAAGATATTATTAAAGATATTAGCATTTTTATACATGAAGATATTAGCATGTTTTCAGCTCTCAGCTTCCTTCATTTGCAGCAGGCCATGCAGTGATTGCAAGTCAAATGAAAGGCCCCAGTGCCCGTTATTGTTTCTGTTTTTTATTGGCTTTATGCTAGATCTGCACATGCATTATGCAAATTTTTAAATGAAAATATAGCTTAGTACAGAAAAAGCCAACAATCTTAGAAACAAAGACTTTTATAACAGACAACAAGAATTGCTTGGAATACCTGGTTTTAAATCCCCATGGGCAAACATGTCAACCATATATCGACAGAATGCATACTGATCTGATAGAATAGAAAGAAAAAAGCAATGAAAAAGTGTCATCAGCTATGTCTATTTCATATGGAGACATTCTTTTACAAAACAAACAGAACACCATAAATTTATTTTGATTACTGCATATTTCTGTGAAGAAATAGTATGTGCTTTTATGAACATACAGAGGAAATTAGATAATAAAGGTAAAGTTCCATTTATTTCCTGCCAAAAACCCCTTAAGTATTGAACTAGACTAATCAGGGTCACATTAGGTAGGGAGATTTTAATTTAAAAATTCAAAATCTTTTTCATCAAATTTGCTTCAAGAGTCCCATATTTAAATGATTATTCCCATTTATCTTAGATATATGAGAACAAAAGTTATACAAAAATTGTTTCCAACTAGCAAAGTTTTATCAACTGCTCAAACCCTGTGCTCTCTACTAGTTGCTGAAATGAAGCTGCAGGGTATTTCCTCAGCAAGGCCCAGAGGGTGAGCCCTTCACAAAAAACTGTTAGTATCCTTTTCATGATAATGCTTTTTATCAGAAGAGTAAATCCAAAAAATCACCTAACACCACCAATGATGGATTGATAAGCTAATTTGCTGAGTAATCATTACGAGAGCCTATCATTATGACAGCATACAAAAAACAAAGTGAAAAGACATCTGATACAGACACAGTCAAAAGTGGCTTCAGGAGTTGGACAGTTTTTTCTTTCACGTCTAAAGACATTACAATGAAGTTGTTATTCTCACACAACTTTAGATCCTCTCGGGGTCATTCCAACTCTAACCTCTTCCATCATTGATCTTTGTACTATCTGATACATTTTGTCATAGCTTCTGTAAAGCTTGTATATTACAAATCTTACATTTCATGATTAACATTTTAATACTCCTACATCAGGTATTTTATTAATCCACCAAATCCAAAGTCAACTTTAGGACCAAGTTCATTTAATTTATATATGTAATACATTTAATTGCTCTAAATTATTTTTATCAAACAGGAAATAACAAAATTTATTTCCAGGTAAATGTACATCCAAGGACATTTATAAAGCACAGTCTTTTTAGACCGTTAACAGCAGTTGAAATCATTTGATTGAGACACTCTGTAAGGTCTTTGAAAAGGAAGGTGCAGTTACTGTAATCGACCTGAAAATAGCCATTTTCACTGATGACCAAATAGGGTGAGCCAAAACTTACACAATTTCTAAAGTTTGCATGAAGCCTAATGACTTAAATTAGAGTCTACTGTCCTGTCAGGAACCAGGGATTGTCCTGTGTAGAATCATGGAAAAGCTTGTTCTCAGCCCATGAATGAAGCTACTTGTTATATGAAACTTGCAGAAGTGCCTTCGTTTCTCATCCCAAGACCAGGGAACTCTGGTTCTTAGACCTAAGTGACATTAAGTTACATGGTATTTTCTCTTTTCTGGACATGAGATTTTACTTGAAGAGCAACCAATTTTGCTCTAAAACAAGTAGGACAATACCTTTCCTTTAAATGGAAAATGTGAGTTTAGAGTAGGGAAAATGTCAGTCTTACTCCCCCTTTTCGGTGCCTCATGTGATTGTGCTTTTGGATTTCTTTCCTATGATTCTGGAGTATTTCTTAGCTGGTGATTAAAGGCTCAAAAAGATAGGAGATATGTCAAAATGCAGATTTATAGGATTTAGGAATGTGTGTTTTTTACAGTTAACCAGATTGTCTAATCATACTACACACAGAACTACTCTCTAAAACCCTTTAATTATTTTTTCCACAAAAGTTACTATTTGTAATTTATCCACCTGGGGTTGGAAAGCTATTCTTTATATATGTCTAAGGTTTATAATGCAGAGACTATTTAGAATATGAAGGGTTTGGATACCCTCAAAATGAAATATTGTTTTCTGTCCCAAACTGTAATAGGATATTTATATACCAAATTGGATGCTGAATTTACTGAAAACACCTTTTATAGTTTCCTCTTTGATTGTTTACAGGGCAAAGAATTTTTTCAACCTGGTTATAAACTATTACCAAAATATCATGCTGATATTTATTATGCTAATGATTTCTGCATTTAAAAAATCGTTCATTTAATCAATCTACAAATAGTCCAGTAAACTTTTCATACAAAGGAGGAAATGTGAAATCAGACATTTTTTCCACCTAGAAAATTATTTAGATGATGAAAGTGTAAAAGTTTCACTTGTATGTGAATGTCACTGCATTCTAAGGGCTCCAAGGTATTAAGGAAACTTAAGGGAATATTTTTAATAATTTTCAAATTAAGAACTTTTAGTTATAACGCCCTTCTGTACCTGTCCTCAAGATCGACCTTAAAAATGTGAAAAAATTCTAGGAAGGTTGTATTGGGCTTTACTTGCCTGAGGAGAAAAAAAAAAAAAACAGGCAACCTGATGTAAGGTTATTCATTTTATGGAAATAGTTTCCTGTTTTTGAAGAACATCTAAATTGCCCTGTCAGTCTGACTTTCATAGTCATAGATAATAGCTTCTGTAACATAATTTCATATTTGGTCACACTTTGAAGGATTTTTTTCTCCTGAATGAGCATCATGCTAGAACTGGTCTGTGCTGTCCAGCCCCACTTCGTTCATCCTCAGGGAGCTGGATGGATGCCACTAGCTACTGCTCCCCTGTTGCTGCTCCCTGTGGAGTGGTCGCTGAGAGAAAATGGATTCTTGGTATAGACTATCAAAAGGAGAGGGGGTTAAAAATAGACTCTAATATAGGTGGGTACTTGTGGCCTAGTGCAGATGGCAGATTCCCATTAGGTATGCTTTCTCTGGCTGCCACCAATACTGAATAATTGTTAGAAAAAATAATGAAAGTGACAAAAGTGATCAAAGTTTAGAAAAGCTGGCAGGTGTTCCCCCACAGAGCTGGCAGAGAGCAGCAAACCCCAGGAACAACATCTGACCCTAAGTAGATTTGAAATGGGCCACAAAAATCAGATTATATTTTATATAAGTCCGAGTACATATATGGTAAACAGGCCTATACATCATATTTTCAATGCTTCAAGGATAAATGCATTGTTTATATAGATAAACGTTAATATTAAATGTAACTACAATGATGTGTAATCACTTTTAAGCTAAAAGTAAATATCATTATCTGTTGTCACAGATAAGAATGTTTCCAAAAACATCATGGGTATTAGGTATTTAATATGAGATTTAAAAATATCTATCTGGGGAGCTGGAGAGATGGCTCAGTGATTAAGGGCACTCACTACTATTGTAAGTTGGGTTCCCAGTACCAATATTTGGCAGCTCACAACTGCCTGCAACTTTGGCTCCAAGAACTCTGATATGACTTTCTGGCTTTAGCAGGTAGCTGCACTCATGTACACGTACTTTCACACAGACACGCACATACAGGTGCAAATTTTAAAATAAATTACAATATTTTAAATTTATAGATAAAACACCCAAAGCTCATTAAGCATAACTTAACTAAGCTAATAAATATTCTCTCACTCAACAGTGAGTTAACTCAAACTTGCTGTGCTACAATGAAAGAATATTTTAAAAAAGCCACCTCACAAGTTGTTTTATTTTAATAGAAAACACCATGTCTTTATTGTATAAACCAACTAGCTTTTAAACAAATGAATGATCTTAAAGAGCTGTTTAGGAAAAGTTAAGTTTTCAATCTTTGACCAGCCATTATAGGTTAATTTTGATTACCTACCTAAGTATACATTCATTTAGTTGATGCTAGCAATTCCCAATAGGGAGCTATCCCTTAGCATAAGCCTTTGTTTAGATGGTAAAATCCTATCTGTGCATTTGCTTCTAACTGTGTTTTCCAAGTGTGCTGTTAATAGACACATAGTTCTTCACATAAAAATGGAAATAGAAAATTGAAAATAGAATGAGGATATATTTCTGTCTTTATTAAATCTAATTAGTTATGTAGCAAAATCAGTGTTTGTGACTGGAAAATATATATTCTTTGAAAGCGTGGCAGTGCTATATCTTTATCATTAACATGCTGCCTCAAATTCCAAGACACTATAAACAACATCTCAAACTCTGACCATGGTTCTAAATTATTAGATAAGTGTTTTAACATCATCATACACAACTAGCATATATTTTATATGCTGAAATTAAGGATGGAAATTTAAAATATACTTGGTGTGTTTTAATTGGTTCCACTGCTCCTTTTAAAAGGGAAATCTGGAATGCAAAATATTTTAGAATTTGATTGGATATATTAGAAAATAAAGATTAATTTTCCTGATTTTAATCACAGTAACACATTCCATGTAACATAATTTGTTTTTTTTACTGTAGCCTTTATACTCCCATATTTATACATGACATAAGATAAACAAAATTTCCAATTTTCAAGCTATTATAATCACCTTGAAAAAACTAGATTCAAGTTTCCATAGTTCTCATTCTTAAAAATTAGACTGGAATGAATGAAAATTAACTAAAGTTTTCTAACCAATAAAAGAATAAAGACAA